ATTATGGGCTGACCTGTGCAGCAACCAGTGTTTCTTTTGGCATCAGGAGAGCTGTGGGTGCTCCTGTACAGGTATCTGTAACTCTACAGCATGATTCTTTCACCGAGGACAGAGAGGGTAGCCAAACTGGAACGAGGGAAGGAGTCATTCTCCCTTTGGATTCAGAAATATACATGTGTATGAAATGGCCCAGACTACATTGCCCTCTCTCAGCTCCGGAACCAACTGATGTGGGTCTGTGCTCTTTTCTTTTGGTGCCCAAGTGCAAGCACTTCAAAGTGCTTCAGTACACACATAAAGAAATGCATCTGCTTCCGCCCACCTTGCCTGTTTCTTTAGTCCCCTCGGTAGCATCAGGAAGTAACACTACTGACAACATTGGGCTGTGCAGAGTCTTGCATACTTTCTTTTCTCTTACAAATGATATTGTGGTAGACTATTGTGCAAGCCTCAGAAAGTACAAGGTTGTTCTGGAGAATTTAGCAATTACACAGGTTGAACATTCTCTGACTCGGAATGGATTCCATAGGTTTTTGCTCAGGACACTTGTGAGAACAAAGGTTAGAGCTATTATATCCTGCTTCCCAATCTGATACCCACAGAGAGCAAAGAGAAGATTGGAGATATCAAGCATGCTTTTATTAAAAAAAAAAGAAAAAAACAAAACAAAACAAAAAAACTTGCTGGGCATGTTGGTGCATGCCTTTAATTCCAGTACTTGGGAGGCAGGGGCAGGCAGATCTCTGTGAGTTTGAGGTCAGCCTGATCTACACAGTGAAATCCAGGCCAACCAGGACTACACAGTGAAACTCTGTCTCCAAAACAAACAAACAAACAGCAAGAACAACAAAATAAAAGTATTTTTGAATGTTTTAGTTTAAAATATCACCTCAATAGCTTATAGCATGAATCCAAATATTCCTATGACTGGATAATAAGCTTCAAGAATAACCCAGGTAATTTCCTTTGGTTTAATATATTTCAATAATTTAATAAAATGCAGACAGTTGTGTCATTTACCATTACGTTTTGCACATTTTATATATTTTAACATAGACATTAGTCTTAAAATGTGAAAGTTCATAATGTGAGGCCCTTTCTTTAAATTTTGTGGACTCAAGGTTCACATTTGTCTTGATAAATTATTTTATTTGAAAGCTCTTAGATAATGCCTGGCACATTAGAATGTGCTCAGTCACTATGTTCTAAGCAAACCAATATTTTCCTTAAACTTTTTTATTTGATATTAGTTTAAAGTGAAATCTGCAAGTCTTGTGTATATGGGAGGGGGAGTAACAGCTGTATTTCTTGTTATTATGTTCACTCTTTGGGAATAGGTGGCTTGTGGTACAGTGGTAACATAATAATATTGCTTTCTTTACAGGACCCACTTGACATGGTTTCACATGATTATTTTTTTTTATTACAAACAGCACATTGGACTAAAATACCCAAAGAACACTGATTCCTAAGTGTGTTACTTGATTAGTTGTGCCTCAAACAAAGACTGTAGAACGTGGTTTCTTAAGCTTTGGCACCACTGACATTTCAAATGAGAGAATTCTTTGTTGTAGGAAGTGTATGCACCCCTCTGCTCTGCCAACTAGAGAGAGGTAGCAATTCCCTCATTATTTATTATACCCAAATATGTTTTATCAGAGGTAAATAATTGCTCGTAGCTGAGAACCTACATATTTGCTGTGAATCAGTCCATCCCCTAAATATTTATAAACATGGAGAAAGTTAAATATTTAATATTGAAAGTGTGGTAAATATTGGGAAATTCAATGCATAGATGTTAAATTTTATTTAGTTATTTGTGAGTCTTTGTGTGTAGGCCTGCCCATGCCATGCCAAACGTGTGTAGATCAGAGGACAACTCTCCGCAGGTGGTTTTCTCCTTTCACCATCTAGGTTCTAGGGACCAAACTGAAGTCCTCAGCCTTGTTGACAAGTGTTGTTACTGGCTAAGCCGTTTCACCAGTGCAGATAAATGTTCAATTTTTTTTTTAATTTTGGAGGGCTCATGGATACTTACATGGAATTTATTTGCTTCGCTAATTCTGCACATAGTCTTCATTTATCTAGCGGCTAAATGTTCATAGAAATAAGGTCACATGTATCAAGCAAGTACTGAATTCTGTCTGAGGCGCTGTTACACCCTATGAGGCTACCAAAAAGCAGCAGATGTGTTGTCTGTCCTCCTGGAACACTTTCCATTGAACTGTGGTAATATATTGTAACACACAACTTGATGGTCCCTAATTTGAAGTCCAAAATGCTCTGAAATTTTTTGAATATCAACCTGATGTTCGTTTATACAGCCCCATATTTGAAAAACTGAAATCTGAAATGCTTTTCTCAAGCACTCAGATAAGAGACACTCAACCTGTATTGTTAGACTCTGGACAGACACCTTGAAGTAAAACATTCAACCATTTTGTGCACCTGTGTGTGTGCGCGTGCGTGTGTGTGTGTGTGTGTGTGTGTGCATGAAGATGTGTGGTATCAAAAGCATACTGTAATTTGCCATTTTACTTTAATTAAAACCATGAGAAGTAGTGTTTTGTGTGTGTGGTGGTGCAGGGGTGTCCTGGTACTCATGATATTTGTATAGTTTTCAAACATTTATACTTTCAAAAGGTTTTATGCATATATTCACATATAGCACACATGCAATATAAAGCAAGGATAAGCAAAACCATAAGGAGCCCCAAGGAAATTCCCAGATGTTCTTTATCAATAATAGAAACAAGATCAGCATCCCTAAAATAAAAACACTCATCAGTGTCATTTAGGAACTGTCTCAGTGTCTAGATCTCAAAGGTTAGTGTTATTTTTTCCATTTTACTACATCATTCTAGGCCAGCATGGTGTCAGGAAAGTCATTTCTCTGATATGTTTAGAGTTCACTTGTTTACTAGAACTATACAACATTCTCTTTGGGTAGTTATGAAACGTAAGTAACTGGAAAGAACACAGTAGGCCAAAATGGAATGGTATAACATATAAAAAAGTGACCAACTTCAAGGTTAACCAACAGCAGTGCCTGCAAGTTTAGCCTGATAACAATACAATAAAATATGGTGTCCCCAGAATACACCTAACAACATCAACAAATTTATAAGGAAGCTCATTCACTCAATTAACTTTTTTATTTACTTATTGAGGACCTACTCAGTGTCATGGAACATTCTAGGCTCTGGAAATACAGCAGTAAATAACAAGTAAAATTGCCTTCAGAGAGCTCCCGTTCTTCTTGACAATTTTTCATAGAAGAGAAGGTGAATCTTTGGCCTCAAGCACCTAGCAAGGTTGATGGGCAAATAAAAGGTATGCCATGTCCGAAATACAAAGAAAGAGCAATAGTATAAATATTGCTTCCATGTACACACAGGAGGATTCTGAAAGTGAGCACAGAGCAGCTATGACGAGTTGATAGTGGGTCCAAGAAAGTTCAGTGGACCTACTTGAGGTTGGTCTCTAATGATGGAGCCTGATTCACATTACTAACTCAAAACATGATCTAAGAATCACTGTCTGTCTCACCTCGTCTCAGACCTTGTTAACAGTATAAATTCTTGGGCTAAATCCAGACTTGCATTTTCAAAATCTTCACTTTGAAAAAAATCCTCTGAGCCCAGCATGGTGGCACATGCCTTCAGTTCCAACACTCAGGAGGCAGAGGTAGGTGGATCTCTGTGAGTTTGAGACCAGCCTGGTCTATATAGAGAGTTCCAGTCTAGGGAGGGCTACAAAGTGGGATCTTGTCTCAAAAAAAAAAAAAACAGACAAACAAGTAAACAAATAAGCCAACTCCTTTGAGATCTCTAGGAACATTAATGTTTAAGTGGCATTGCGGGTAGGCTAGTATACAGTGTGCATTAGGCAAGTGAGAAATAGACACTAGATTGGGGCCTGCCATTGGGTAGAAATGGAGAACACTTAGACTTGGAGAACTATGACTTCCAAGCAAACAGTGACCATATAGAATGTAGTAAGTAGTCGGGGGAACCTCAATTGGAATTCTCCGATGTATCACTTTTTAATTGCAATATTTGAGTCAAATATTTACTTGGCTGAACCTTTTGTGCTATTTGTTCAGTGAGGAGAGAGCAGTGTGACCCAGGTGGGCTCCTGTCACAGTAACTCATTACAAAACACAAAGCCTGAACTTCGAAGTCTCTGGCCCACAGAAAATGAACTCTATTAGTAATAACCGTGTTGATAATAACCAAATACTTTCCTTGGAGAAAAATGATAAAAGAAGAATAGCATTTGTTGAATGTCTACTTAGAGCTTCCCCACAGTGTGTTGGATACACAGGCTCGTAACGACCTGCAAGGTGTGTTCTCATTTTAGACTGACACTTGAATATTAGCTTCTTCTTGTGTTCACAAAGGTGTTTCCCTGAGATTCCTGTGACTGCTGTTATTATCACTGTCACTGTTGTTATTGGGTCCCCGAAAAAGGGCTTGCTTTGCTCCTGGAGTTGAGCTGAAGTTGGAAAAAGGCAGAGTTGTGGAAGTCACTGCTGTGTACGCTGAATTCAGCTATCTGTACTGCCCAAGATCTAATCTCATGCTCCTTGCCTCTGTTATCCTCGTCAATTTTTCGGCCAATAGGTGATTCGTTTTCCAATTTGCCTCTCTTTCACACACGCAGAGATTGTGAGGCGTTTCAACCTTGCCATTCCTCAACTGATAACCTAAGGTAGGGACAGACTCAGGTTAAAGTGACTTGAGACACATCTAAGGGTAAGAAAACTGAAAAGCGAGAGGGAAGGAACCTAAGGCTTGAAGGAGCAGGTGTCTGGCTCGGTGGCCCCACCCTCGGCCAGGTGGGGGAGCCAAGCAAAACTTTTGCAACTCCAGACCTCTGGGAGGCTACACGCACCCCAGCCTTGCCAGCCTGTCTGCAACGTGGCCGCGTTCATCCGGGTCGCCCTCATATCCCCCATCCTACTCCTGCTCTCGCAAACTCTTCTGTTCTTTCTCCAGGCCCAGTCGTATTCCAATTTTCTTGATCCCGGGCTTCTGCTGCTCTCAGCAACCCCAGAGATCCTCCAGCTTCTCTGACTCTGGCTACTTTAGCCAAACCCCTTTGCAGCCTGAAGCCTCAGCTCCCCCGACACCGCCCGGCAGTGGGGTGGAGGCAGGGCCAACTGCGGAACCGCCCCCAACCGCCTCCCAGCCTAGGCGATCGGGCGGGTTGCTGGGGCGCCTCCACCTCCTCTTCCTAAAGCGGCGAGGCGCAGCCGAGCGGCATCACTGGAGCCCAGGTCCCAGCCACCGCCTCACGTACAGCTCTACATTCAGGAAGAGGAGCAGCTCCGCAGTTGGCTACGACCTCGGCGAGCGGGCGTCTGAGAGGTAAACTGAGTCCCGGGAAGCAGTGCCGCGAACTGCTCACCTCCCAGCAAGTGGGGTGGGGGAGTGGAGGCTACAAGCCACCAGCCCACTAACTCCACTTCTCTGCGTCCTTCCAGGCCCCGATCGAGAAGCCTGGGAGAGCAGCCGAGCTACCCCTGTAGGAGGAGCCAGTCTGAGCCCAAGGCGCCACTACCGCAGAAGCAGCGCGAAGTAGCAGTCGCCTCCATGGCCCACTCACCGGTGGCTGTCCAAGTGCCCGGGATGCAGGTGAGAAAGCCCAGGCCTCCTCTGCCGCCCACGTGACTGCTTCGGAGCCCCGCTCTGGGCACCAGGGACCAGGGGCAGCCACCAGGCAAACCTGAAGGCAGGGCCGGCTCTCTCTCCAGGTGACCCCAAGTAAAGCTCGAGGTGTTTCCTGGCGTCCGGGCTAGAAGGTGCTTTGCACGGGAGAGATTGGGACGACTGGGGCGCGACAGTAAATGGAGGTTGGGGTTGGCAGGGAAGGGGGCACGTATAAAAAAAATAGGCCAGAACCTTAGGCACCTGTGCTTGTCGGCTTGTTGATCGAGGCACGGTTGAGGACTGGGGTCGCGGGTGGGGGCCCCAGAACTTAACCTAGATGAGATGGAGGCATCTTGGAATGCGTGGGCTAAAACACCCAAGCGGTGCCCCCAACACGGCACTCACACAGAAGTTGGGGCGGAGCGAGACCAGGAGTGGTGGTGGTGGCATTGAATTGGGTTCTTCCTGTGTGCAAAGAGAGAAGAGCAAGATGACTTCTTTTCCTTTTCAGTGACACTTAAAGGCAAACTTGTATCTCGCTCCCCCACCTGGCCCAGGGGATAGTGCCATGAGGAATGCAGGCTTCTATTCTGAGTACCTAGGTGATGACTTCCCAGGCCCATCTCCTTGTCTCTCTCATAAAGTGCTGAGTACATGTATTTAAGCTTTTGTCTAGTGCAAAGGACTACTGAGTGGGACCCAACTTCTTATTCGAAGCTATGTCAACAGACTTTTTAACAAGTCTTTTTTTAAAAAAGCTACTATAAGATTTTAAACTGTTTACATTTGACCCTCATCACGCGGTAGCCTAAAAAAACCCTTTATGAACAATAGGTCACAGACTGAAAACACTGAAACTGGTTCCTTGTGATCTTATAAATATGCTAAGCCAAACAAACAAACTTTTTTTCAAGTTAGAAAACGTCTAGAACATTGCATAGCTTATGTTTCTAGTGGGAATCAAAACTTTGTGAATTGGAGATTGGTTTTACTGCATGATGCATGGGTTTCATCTTTTGCCTTGGAAATTAGTCTCATTTTATGCATGATCACAAAGGTGATTTCAGAAAAATTCTTACTGCTCAAAGGGCCATTTGTGTAGGACATCCATCTACCCTGCATTTAGGGCAGGTCTGGGTTGAGACTCAGGAAGTTTGCCTGTATTTAATAAAATTACAGAAGGGGAGGGAAAGAAATGTGAAATAGGAAATAGTAGGGCTTTTATGGTATTAATCCATTTAAGCTTTTCTCAGTACCCCAAACTTTTTTTCTCATGCATTCTCATTCCCTGGCTCTCTTTCCCCTAACTATTCTGCCCCATACCCCATTCATTCAGTTCTAGCTTTGGTTTTATCTAGAGAAGTAGTAGTTTGCAGTATGAACTTCATACGTTTGGCTCTGTCTGATCTGGAACAAAGTGTGAACTTTCCCCCGCATGCCCGGCTTTCTATTATGTGATGAGGTGGAACTTTACATATCTAAGGTTTGTCGCTCAGGGGCTCCATGCTCCTTCATCCATTGTGTGCAGGCGCCTGCCCGCCCATACACACACACACATCCTCAGTGCTGCCCCTCATTCATCAACTTTGTGATTCTGGGCAACTCTGTGTGCTCAGGAGAAAATAGTTGCTGGTCCTTATTTCATTTGTCTTGACTTGATTTGATTTATGTGGTTTCTGGTCTTTATTTCATTTGTCTTGACTTGATTTGATTTAGATGGTTTACGAACTGCTTGCTGCTCAGCATTTTCGTCTTGCTCCCTGCTTTGTTTAATTATCTGAGCTGGCTATTTCTTGGATTTTGAATTCTTCCTTAAGGTGGGTTCAAATGTGAATCACGGGTTTGAAATGATCAACTTGGCCTTGCATGGTTTGCCTTCCCAGAGTAGTTGTTACTTTGTCAAACCTTAGGTACATAGAGCAGGCGTCTCAGTTTTAGCCAAGATGCAGTGATTAGTGATTTGCCACCCTCTTCATCTAAATGAAACAGCAAATTCTTAAATTATTTCCATTTTTCTTTCTAGATGTGGTTCTAAAGCAGTTGCTGTAACATTTAAAAAAAAAAAAACTTTCCTGTACTTGAAATTATACAGTGACCTAAAAAAATCCACAGTATGTAGCATGACCCTGTATCCTGCAATACTTTTGTTTTCTTTTGCAAAAATATGATGTGGAAATACATCTTGGGACCCTAATAGTCTCCCAGAGTTTTCTTAGAGTTAGGAACAAGCAACTTTTAGGCTAAGTAGCAAGAAGACTTGGATTGCCATGTGCTCTTCAAATTAATGTGGAATAGTTCCCCCAATCAGGGAGAAGTGATTGACCAGCCTGTACGTTCTTAACTGTTTATGTTGGAGCGTTATGAAGATTGATGGGAGAAATGAGTTTTCCAGAAATTAAACCAAAATTACTTTCTCTACCGTGGTTTTCTCCCTCTGAGGAGAGACGTGGCGCAGAAGCCCAGCTACCTGCCCGTCAGCTAAGAGCCAACATTGCAAACTTTCAAACAAAGACCCTGCTGTTGCCACTAGTGTAGACTCTAAGAGAAACTTGGAGTACAGGAAGACAACTCAGCATCTGGTCCAATTCAAACGCATCCTTTATGAAATTAGTTCCTCAAAATTTATATTGTTATTTCCCAGTACTGTAGCAATGAACATTTTTGTCCTATTACACTCAATGTCTAGGATGTGATTTTTGTATTTAACTTGTTCCCTTCTTTAGGTTTGTAACTAAAGGAATTTTCCATCCCAGGAGCTGTACTCCTAACCACATTTAAAGTACAACCTTAAAAAAATAATAAACCAATAAACCTGTTTCTTTCCACCGAAATATTTACTTTTTAATGATTTAAAACCTGTTTTTGTGTTTAAAGCTAAAGCTTGCATTAGTGTTTTTAAACAAATATGCAAAAGCAATTTTCAGTCTTTCATAATGTTTAGCTGAGAGAATCAATTTAGTTGTTCAACTGAGTATAACAGCTATCATGTTTGTTAAACTTTGTGTTATGCCTCTCACTAATGAAATAAATTTGCTTACTTAAAGAATTCTAAAATTAGCTCCCATGTATCTACAGCTTAAAAATGGTTGTTTGAGATATCAATGGAAATAAAATTTTAGTCTTAATAAACACTTTTGAGGACTTTTAACTAAGGAGCAAAAACATTTCCTGACATTGATGAACCTAGCAGTGGCTCCTGGGAAGGACCAATATAGATATTTACGACCTGCCCTTAAAGAACTGTCAAGCAATACGAAGTCTGTGATCTTACCTCTATAAGTATAAAAAGCATTTATGAATAGAAGAGTTGAAGGCCCCAATCCCACTGCCTGGGGGCCCCCTAAACAGTTCAAGCTAAACAACTGTCTTGCCTATCCAGAGGGCCTAGTCCAGTAGTACCATGGGGACTCCACAGCTATTGGTCCACAGTTCATACACTTCCACTAGTTTGGCTGGTCATCTCTGTATGTTTTCCCATCATGATCTCAATGCCCCCTGCTCATAGAACCCCTGTTTTCTCATCAATTGGATTCCTGGAGCTCGGTCTGGTGCCCAGCCGTGGATCTCTGCTTCCAGAAGGTCAGCTGACCCTACAGTATTGTTAGGATTTAGAGTATACATTTCCAAGTGAAGAAACACCCTTAGCTAAGGTATACCTACACATATAGCTAAGTGCCCGCCTGCATCTTTAAACATACATGCACAGTGCACATACACAATCTTTGAAAGTGGAATAAAATCATTTGGGTGATGATAACGTATTTCTCTAGAGAAATAATAAATGGTAACTTTGGAAACTGGAGCGGGACCAGATTGTGGTGGTCTTTGCTACGGAAAGATTTTAGCCTTTGAAATAGCCACTGAACATTTCCGTATAATGGTACCCAATAAAAACAGTTATGTATAGGAAGAGAAAACTCCGTATTGGATAAATGAATGTACTGGAGAGTTATGATATTTAAATCAGTTTGGTCTACAGAGGCTACTTCGGTGGGACACTCATAGCCATGCAGATGCAATGGATCTTATATTAACAGCTTGCCTTCCTTATCCCCAGGTGCCATAAAGAAAAAAGACATTGCCTGATTTAATAATTAGCTAGTTACAAAAGAAGAAGTGATATAACTACAATACATCTGAAGGAAATAAGAATGTACCGCAAAAGTACCAGACCTGGCAGGAAGCCAGTGATTTCTGCTCCATGCTTGTGGATTTTGAGGTAGCAATGGGATGACACCATAAGATCTCCAACATAGGATTGGAGATATAGAAGTGGAGCTTTAGCCATTCATTCATTGTTTACTGAGCATCTACTACATAACCCAGCATTTTACTTAAAGATAAAAAGATGAAAGAGGTCTGTAACGTCAGTGAGAATATGTGGAAGTGAAGGCCCTTGTGGTACAGGAAACACTGGCTGTCGGTGAAGATGCTTGATGGGAGGATGAGAAAGTATGGCAAGATAAAGAAGGAGTGATTAGCTGGGGCAAATTCTTTGTTAACTGTCACCCAGAAGCTTGAAATGAAGGGATTACTTGTGGCGCCAGATTCCAGTATGTGGAGTTATGTTTTCCTCATTTCTTTCTCAGTCATCAGTCAGATTTGCTATGTGAGGTAACAAGAGGTTGGAAGCATTGTCTTGAACTTAGGAACCCTGTGTTGAGAGGTTGAGACTAAAGCATTAACTATAATGATAATAGCGGGAACAAAATAATCCAAGCCAACTGTTTTCTCAGAGGAGTAGGGGTAGGTGTAGTCTGAAGGCTCAAAACTAGGGTCTGGAGGCTGGGGGCTATTGGGGACAGTAAATGGGAATTGGACAGAGTATAGCACGTGAATCGAATGGCAAGGAGGGTCTAAAACTGGTACTTGAATTAAAAAAAAAGTCCTTAATGTACTTCCTCTTCTTGAGCCATAGAAAATGAGAGCTTATAATTTGCCTGGTGCTTAGGAGCCAGTGAGCATTTTGGTGCTGTATTGCTTTT